GGAGATGGTGCGTCCGAGGTACACAAACCGATCTGTCTGCTTGTACGTCTGGCCGGCGGCGCTGACCGTGAACGGGCGTTCCTGGATCCCTTTCGGCAGCATGCACATGACCTCCGTCTTCGGCTCCGATNGAGCTTCGTGTAGTGCTCCGCTGTTAGGCTCCACGAGGCGCATCCATACAAGAGAGAAAGTCTCCACCATTTCAGCCTGGAGTAGCCGGATCTTGAGCTGGCGGTTGGACCGTCGCCTGTCGTACATCGAAGCACTGTTCCGGCGGTAGCACTTCCACGCTCGGCAGCTGCGGCTCGTGATCTCCCGGTCGGCCTTCCCGTCCGCGGAGATGGTGCGTCCGAGGTACACAAACCGATCTGTCTGCTTGTACGTCTGGCCGGCGGCGCTGACCGTGAACGGGCGTTCCTGGATCCCTTTCGGCAGCATGCACATGACCTCCGTCTTCGGCTCCGATACCATCAATCCGAACAGGCCGGCCACGCGCACGATGACCGACATCATCTTCTCGAGACTCTCCGGCGAGCGCGAGACGATGGCCGCGTCGTCCGCGTAGAGCATGGCCCACAAGGCCTCCGCGTCCGTCACCACCGTCGTCTTCTTCCCCGCCGACCTGCCCTTCATGCCCGTGTACTTCACTTGTGTCCCGATCTTGACCATGTCCGCCGTCACCTTGGGGTCCTTGTCGGACTCGGCCACGGTGACCATGAGAATCGCGGCAAAGAACACGTTGACCAGCAGCGGGGCCAGGTTGCATCCCTGACGGAGGTCTTGTGTCATGTTCCAACTCTTTTTCTTACAAAAAGATATCGCACAAAACGCGAGTGGAAAAAATGTCCCGGACGCACCATATGGGCCCATCCATGTTGTCCGCAGTTCCTCCGCAGTAATGCCTTTTTCCCGGTCCAACTATTTATCTGCTGTCTCCTAAATGTATGTTTTGCGGACCATTCGAGTCTATTTTATTTCAGTACAATATATCGTACAGCAGTTCACCGCTTTCAGGGTACATACAGCACAGTTGCTTTGTATCTCCCCTCCTTCCTCCCCTGGCTGCCTCGGCAAGGTATTGCTTAGGCATGACCCATGGCGAGGGGGGGGGGGGGGGGGGGGG